CACACACACACACACACACACACACACACACACACACACACACACACAGAGCAACATTCCTTCAGAGAAAAACACATTTCTCGTGCTCTGTCTTCCATTTCTTTCTCTCTGTTCTCGTACTTCTTTTTTTTCACACATACTCTTCATCACAAACTCATTTCACATGCGTGTTTTTTTTCACATACAAACATATATGGCAAGAGCATGGCGGTGGGTGTCTTGCAGGCAGTAAGATGGGTAAGCACTATTTGTTCGCTCGCCTCGCCCTGTGCGCCACTGCAATGTCTTCCTCTTTGTGATGGATAGCTGGCTGTCAGCCAACCAGCAGTGTCAAGTGAGAGAACGCTTCAGCTGTCTCAGTCCTTTCACTCTCCCACTGTGTAGCTCCGTGTTTCTTATACTAAGTCCCATTGTTTTATAAGAATGATTAAAATACATCTGTAAGCTGCACTGTCACATATGCTTCTTGATAATGTATAACTTGCTGCATTACCAGATGCCAAAAAGAAATTAACACTCAGACAGCACATTCATGGCTAAGACTAGTTTTTGCGATCCACATCCACACATCCACTTCCATTAAATAAAGCGATCCACATCCACAGCAAAATTTCTTCCTATTCTTTCTTTATCCGCGATGGACCACTCCACCGGGTTTTATAAAATCTCAGCAGGTAGTTATTGTGTATTCTTGCTACAGACAAACAGCATTGACAACAATCCTCTGCCAAGGTGATTCTTGGAGTATAAATTATACCAAAAAATACACAAAGAAGTCCAAAAATGTGCTAAACATGAATCACGAATGAAACTAGTTCAGAACCAAAGACCCATGTCCAATTTTTTATTTCCTGCTTGGGCAACATTTTGTAAAAACTTCAGCACACAGCACTTTTAGAAAATGATGTACCCTTTGTATAAGAATGAAATCATGTATTTGCGACACTAAAAGCCAATTGGCTTGGGGAGTGAAACTGAAAAGGTAGGGAAGTCAGAAAGTGTTGGGTGTGAGACTAAGGCGTTGTTGGCTTTGATCTTTTCATGGATTTGTTGACAGTACATGAATTAGACATTGGCAGCCTTATCCCCTAAAGCCTCGACTATCTCATCTCTTTCTTCCTGTTTCCTTGTTATTTTTCTTTGCTTTCTGTTGCTTTCCGTTCTGTTAGATTGCTTCTTCTCCCTCTTCTAGATATTCATTGCCTGCGCTCTCTCCCCTCCTCTCTGTCCGACCTCATTTATCTTAGAGCCTCCCTGTCTCTCATCCTTTCCCTTTCTTGATGCCACTTTCTCTAATAGCCTGGTTTGCTCTCTGAGCCTCTCCTTCTCATCTCCCTTTTTCTCTGTTCTTCATTGCCCCTCCTTTCACTTTGCCTGTTTTCAAACCCTTCAGCTCTCTTCATTCTTTGACCTTTTCTGTCTTCTACGTCATCCCCTCTTCTCTTATTTTTCTCCACCAACACCTCTTTATCTCTGCTGTGCCTCCCCTCTCCTTTTCACTTTTCCCGATTTATCTCCTCGCCCTCCTCTCATCCCTTGCCGTCTCTTCATCTTCTCACCCTGCCCGGTAAATATGACAGAGACATCTCTCCTGTGACATCCAATTGTGTGTTCTGCCTCTATCTGCCTGTCTGCCTCCACAAACACTTGACACCATCAGTCACCTCAGAAAATGCCTCTTTTCAAAAGCAATGACCACAGCTTTTGTCAAGGAGACACTCATCCCCATGACATGCAAACACAGCCCCATCAGAAGTCTGATGCCTTTCATCCTTTAGAAACAATGTTTCAATATATCTGCATGTTTAAGTGTAACAGACATGAAAAAAGTAAGAACACATGCTTTGTGTTACATTTATAGTGTGTTTGTGTCTCATTGTGATCTGCCCCAAATGATCAGTTAATGTACATGTCTGCATAGTTATGGTTGTTCCCACCCTCAATCCTAGCCCAGGTTCAACAGTAGCCATGTCTACTAAAACATAATTACTGGGAACAAAAATGTGGTTTGGTGTGTTGCTATATTTAGTTTATTAAAGTCCTTTTATGTCTTGCTTTCAGCTCCTTTATCACAGTGAAGCTGGGTCAGATTAGGACACAAATTTGTCATGCTAAAGTCAAAGAGGGTAGCTCTATAGGAGACTGTGTATGCAATAATCTTCAAACAATACTGGTTTTAGAGGGCTGTAATGCTTTGCCCTAGTTTCCAATGATTGTTTTGACATTTGTAAAACAAGTCTTTTGCCTGGTTGTAACTTCAATCTACAAAACTCGCTTACACAAACTCAGAAGCATTTAAAAAAGTAAAAATAAAGAAAATACTACACATATATCTAAAAACTGGAATTCTTGATGCTGACAGATTGAAATCATTTCTTTGTAACATTGACAAGAATATTTGTTTTCATATGCCGATGCCTGTATGAGAAAAAGTATTCAAATATTCTCTTTTTCACTCACTAGTTTCAGTTTTATAATGTAAAACTTAATTATATAATTATATTTACGTTACATGATACTTATTGTATAAGATAATTATTTCTGGGATGCTGAATGACAATTTGATGTGTATTTTGTTGCTTTCAGTAGAAATCCTGCTGATGACTCAGTGGATTTTAGATGGAAATTCTGTGTTTCACTCACTATAAACCATCTTCTAATCAGAGGGTGAAAAAGCCACTCTTCTTATTTGGTATTAGCTGAAGGAAATATTTAATCTATACTGACCGTCATCGCTGTTGTCGTCCACCAGGATGACCTCCTTGAGCAAGTGTGCCGGTGTGTGATTGACAGCTGAGTGGACTGAGCGCAGGATCACCGACAGAGCCTCGTTGACGAAGATGAAGATGAGGGAGATTTGGGGAAGGTCTCTTGAGTAGCTGACCTTTCTACATCTGTAGAAAGACACGACACAACACCTGTAAACTACTTGCATTAAGTAATACGAGGTGCCAGTGGAGCACTAGAGTGATGGTTTGGGAAAATTAGTCTACAAAGTTATACAATTAAAAAGACAATCATGATTTTGTATTGATGTATTTACCATGATTTCTAACATTTCTGATCAATTGAATGTTATATTAAATAACAAGGAATATGCCTTTCTTTTTAAAAAATGAGGACATTTCTCAGTGAACCTTAATTTTTGAGTGCTCGCATATTTAATTTTGAATTTGTAAAAAAGACCAAACTACCTCCATAGAGCTGCTGACGTCTTGTTCAATGGGGCTGAAAGGCAGAGCAAGTGCCGCTTCCTGTTCAACTATAATCGCAAGGATTTTTTTCCACATTGGCCTTTTAACTGCATGTGCTGTTTCAGATAGAAACCCTATTTTTAAGTTGTTTTGTTTAAACAACTCTAATGAAGCGGAAAGCGGCAGGGTGAGGCTTTGGCTCTAAGTTTAGCACATGTGGGAAAGGAAGGGGCTTCTTTTATTGTCTCCTTTTCACGTCTTTTTTTCTTTTATCGATTATCTTATTTCCTCTGTGAAATAATAGCTAATTAGAAGTTATTCTATAACAAATCCAGTGTTTTCAATTCACGAGGTTGGAGAACACTTTTTTAGGGTTTTTGGCAGGAAACCATTAGAAAACAGAAGGCAACATTAACAAGATTAACCACGAAGAACTGGGACATTTGTCACCTTTTTTCTCCTTCTGATACAATATTGCAAAAGTCTTGAGGCATCCTCATTTCTTTATATTCTGCTGGGAAAATGGGAAATAGGCAGAGCAATTCACTGAAACGTGCAAACATAAATGGAAATACAGTACATAAGGCAAAAATGTACTTGAAAGTCAATATTTGGTATGGCCACCTTTACTATCGAACATAGCCTGGACTCTCTCTTTCCTGAACACACTCCTTTAATAAATGTTGAGGTCTGGGCTCTGGGGAGGCCAATCCATGACTGATCTAGGTATACGTTTACTGCATTCACCGTGTGTTTGGGATCATTGTCGTAATTAATAAAAATATGCCTTTTCCAACTAGATGCTTTTCAGCTGGGACTGCATGATTGATGAAAATCTTAATATCTGGTTCATATTTCCATCAGCTTTCTCAAGATTCCCAACACCACTGGCAGAGCCTTCATCGTGTTTTACAGACGGATGTAAACACTCTCTGTTGGAGTCATATCAACAATTATTTGAACCAAAAATGTCAAATATGAATTCATAATGCTGTAAGACCTGTTGCCACTGATATAGTCCAGTTCTCGTGTAATTTACCATACCTCAGCCTTTTCTCCCTGTTTCTCTTCACTAAAAATGGCTTCCTGACAGCCTTCCACTGAGACCGTTTCTGATGAGGCTTCAGCAAACAGCAGATGGATCCATTAAAGGGCCAGTGCATCTCTCAGGTACTTCAGGTCTTTGCTTTTCTTTATCTTTTTCTACATCTTAAGGACATGATTTTCAGATACAGTTCATCTGCTGTACAGAGTTATTTAGTCCTGCTACTTTTCCAGTTTCCTCAATTTTTTTAAGGACTCACAGCACGCCAGATTTTTGGGAACCACCTAGTTGGTTCAAAATGTTATTTTTACCTATCAAATTTTGTTATCTTTTAGATTCTTAAAGATTCAACTAAACGAAAAGAAAATCTGGCTCCTTGAAAGGAAAATGTTTTTAAAAATTAGGCACATCTGAATATTTTTTGCACTGTGCCGTAAATGTGACAGAGAGGATTCCAGAAGATCCCTTAGGTTCACATGAATAAGGCTTAAAAAAAAACTACAAACATGATCACAGTCTAGTGGAAGTATAAAATGTCCAAAAACATATTTTAAACCCCTATATTACAATCATGGAGGGGATATACTGCATGTACATACACTGCAGGTAGGAGATACTACAGCAATTATGTTAATACAAATTGAGAACAGGAGGAGGCAGGGACGGTGCAATCAGCGTAACCAGTTCCAGCAGTGTGTAGGAGATAGAAGGGAACAGCATGAATGATTGCAAAAGTGGGAGTGTGAACTTGTCACTTTACAAGTACAGCTTCATTGATTAATCTGAGTATGACTGTGATTATGGCTGTAGGAGTCAGCTCATCAGCTGATGGCCATCCTAATGGCACTTATCAGACTTAACATCACTACAAACTAATGCTGTCACATCTATGATCGGTATTGATGTGCAGTACGAGTCCACTTTTATTTCTACACATGTACCACATTGCTGAAAAGAGAAGCAAGTTTAATAACCCTAGAAAAGCTGAGCAGGTTGACAGAAGATCATTTAAAATGCTGTTTTTATTTTTTCCTATTTCTGTTTCTCTTGCTCCTCTCATACTTCTCCACAATCTCCTTCAGTCAAACAGAGTAGACTCCTCTGACCCCAGCTTACATGCTGTCTATGTCTGAAAATGCTGCACCCCAACGTGCTTCACTGGCCACATTGATCGAAGCAACATAAAAGACCTTCTAGAAGAAGAATGAGGGCACTGGAATTTCATCTAGACCAAGGATCCAGTCTTTCTTGTCATCAGTGATTTTCAAAAAAAGGGTCTGTGACTTGCTTCACTATCAGCTAGCTGGAAGCTACAAACCCTTAACTAAGAATGACTGAAGACGTAATACACACGGCTGTTTGTATATGACGATAAGACATGAAGACCATACACATAGAAATGTGCAGTCATTACATAAATAAAACCATGTGCAAACGTGAGGTAAGCATTTTGTACCCAGGCACTGACTTACACATGCACATGCACACACAGCACACTGTGAATGTGTGCGTGAACGCCTGCTGACCGATGTCAAACCAAGACTTATAGTGCAACTTCATCAGATATGAGCATAAGAGGCTGGGGGAGAGTAATAAAGACTAAAAGGGGGGGACGTGAAATATATGGAAAAATGAGCCAAAGGATTCATGTATGCTGTGAAAAGCAGCTGATACAATAAGAGAGCCACCAAAGCACATACTCGACCCAAACCTCTGCACCTCTGTGCATATACTGTTACTACCTAATACTATAGGGTTGGTATTTTCCTATGATAAACTAAAAATGCAAAACTATAGCATTTCGAGCACAGATGAGGCTGCCTGGGAGAGCTGCGTTACACCACTGTGCCCCCTTATAATGGCTGTGCTCTACACATGCATGGATATGATTAGACATGACTAGTCTGCTGATTGCCACACAGATGTGAATTACTCAGTTACTGTGAAGCATGAATGAAACAGCTGATACCAATCAGCTAATGCAAGGCCAACCTCAGTGCTCTATGCAAAAGTGTGGGCACTCCTGGGAAAATCACACATTTATCAATTCACTTATTCAACAAAGAGCAGTTTGACACAGCATATCTCTGATGCACACCTTTCCATGATGAACAAATTGGATCCTTGGATTCAAACAAATATCTAGACTCAGATTTGTTTGGGTTATTGCCTTAAAAACATCAAGATAAAGTCTCTCATTTTTATTATTGATATTTGATTGTTTTTTTTGTTTTTTTTTTTAAAACATAAAAAAAAAATTACATTTTGAGCTACCTCACAATGGTAAAGAATCCAGAACCAGGCCGACTCTAGAAGTCAATCCTTTCTACGTTAAGCCAGCCCCTTAAATTAAATTTTAATGCACATTCATGCTTCACTTTTTGAGCTATACTGCTATCAAACAAACAAACAAAACCAATGAGCAATCATTTATTCAGTTGTTAAATATACGTCACTTTTTATTTTAGGATCTTAGAAATAGGACTGGAGCATGTGCAAACATTTGGGCTGGGCTATAAAATAGTGAGAAGTCATTAAGTCGTAAGGCTGGAGGCAGGTCAAAAATTCTCATCTGAAGTTCGCAGCTGATGGCATTTCCAGAGTTGATAAAATCTATGAGTCGTCGAACCTTGTGGTGACACTCAACAGCTCTGGGCTCCTCTTAACAGATGACTAAGGATCAGAAAATGAACCTATCTAATGCCTACAAAGCAGGGTGGTGCTATAAAAATATCAAAGTGCTTCCAGCTTGCAATTTCACCAGATGAAATAACATAATGAAAAGGGAGTTGAGGGGCACAGTGGAAGTTAAGACAAGATCTGCGAGAGTAGAGAAACTCTGGTGAAACTGAATATTTTCTGGGGAGAAATGAAAAACAAATCTTACATATGGTCACAAAAAAGTCAACATCTTCAGTATGCAAGCACAACATTTGGATAATGCAGGCAATAAGTTTTAAGACTCATTAGCTGAGTATTACTGACGTGTGTGTGGGGGCTATATTTAGAAAATAAATAACACTGCATTAACATTAAAAGGTGTGTTATCTGAGACTGAATTTATTCATACATCCACACATACATCAGCTTTTACTGGAGCAAAATAAAAATTAGGACTGTTTTCAGGGAGTTCTACATTATCCAAAGCAACTGAGACACTGATTATGGAAAAATTATGCTGCTCATGTATTTTCTTTTTAATGCTGAAACGACCCCAAGTGAAACGTCAACCGTGTCCACTGTGTTAGGCTCGAGGAGGCTATCTCAGAAGCAAAGAAAAAATGTAAAATTTGGATGACTCAACCATCTGAAGCGCAATTTAAAGTTTCCTCACTTGACTTGTACTCACTTGCTAGGCCGATGGTCTGGTATTGTGCGGTCCAGAGAAATTCTGTCACTGAGGTAGGCATTATAGCCGTACTTCTCCCTAAGGTATTTAGCGTCACTCTCCTCAGCCGGTGACAGCGTGGCGGGGAGGCCGCCTTTACCCCGACCCCCAAAGCCCTCAATCAGGCCCAGAGATTTGGACAGACCTGAGCAAGGCAAACAAGAGAAGATTACATGTCAGGATCCTTTAGTGTGCCTGAGTCACTCTCCTCTCAGTAATGCATTATACTGCCCACAGCTGATAGCCTGCCTTACCATCACAGCTCCAAACTCACATGAATATACAGTATTTTGTCAGTGGCTGTCAAAACAGGTGAACTTCTGGGCCGAGTTCATTAGAACCAGAGTTGGCACAGAGTCACAGAGAATATCTTCAATCTATGGACACAATTTACAAATAGGATGTGTGAAATATTCCCAATCCAAACCCTCCTATCCATTCTGAGGTCAGTAAGCCTTCATTTAATGATGGGGAAGAAAATTAAACTCTAAACATAGGCTAAACTACACAAGTGAAGGATTTAAAGCTTTTGCTCTGTCTGTAGGGGGGACAGAGAACAAACACATACCACACCATCCTTCATAGTGTTTGAACCTCTGTGTTGGCAAACATCCGGCATCCTGAAGACACCAGAACCCTGAAAGCTCCTTCTCGGAAGTTAACATTAAACTCTAACCTCCCGGAGTGCAATAAAGACATTGTCTTTTCAGAGATTAATTAAAGTACAATTCTGGATAACCTTACTACTGTTGCAGGGGAAATCAATTCACTGGATCCTATTGTAAACAGCCCCATGTATCCATTTAAACCCAAACCCGACACACTTGTATTTAAAATTAAATGTTTTATTGGAAACTTAATTACCATTGGTGATCTCTGCTGCTCTACGGCTGGAGTATTAAATATGCTTGGTAGTTGCTGACTCTTTCTTCAGTGGTTCAGTAGATGTAGACTTTCTAACAGAGAGCACACTCTCATCATGCATGACCCATAATTACTGAAATAATGTGAGAGGAGTGCCAGATCCAGCAGCTGACTGTTAGACAATATTAGGGACAATGCAGGGAGGCTTATTCATTAGTTTCTAACATGTCATGTCAGGGCTCCAGAGGGAGTAAAAAAAAAGTCAGACAACACTGACTTTTAACTTTTTCAGATTCCTTGAGGGAAATCAAGTTGACACGTTCTTTCACTTTAAATGTTAACGTGCTCTTTACCGTTTAGCTGCCTGTACACCACGTCCTCCAGAGAGCTGAGCCTTTTCAGCAGCACCTCATGGCTGACGCTGGGCCCCTGTGCCGTCCCGTTGCCCCGGGCTCTCTTCCCATCACCCGCGGCCTCTGGACCGGTGGTCTGGATGCTGCGTGCGTTGTTGCACTTGGCCCAGAAAGTAATGAACCCGGCAACCGCGAGCACGTTCAGCACCAGTAACACCCTCCATCTTCTGAACACAAAAGCCATTAAAAAGTCACCAGTGTCCGGGCTTCCAGTGCGTAAGAGGTCAGGAGGAGGGACAGTCTCAGGAGAAACCTGAGGCGCGTTATAGTTACAATGCGCCAACTATGCATGCGCCCTTCACCCTGACTTCAGAGAAGTGTGACAGAAAGCAATGCTCTCAACCGCGGTGTGTGTAGCTGTCTCAGTCCGCAGCCGCAGCAGTATACACTCGCCCCGTAACGTGTCGAGATTCGGGTCTTCTTTGCCTTGCGTTGCGTGGAAAGCTGCAGGGATAATTCACATCAACAGACCTTACGAGAGCTGCAGAAACTCACAGTTTTTTTTCTCCACTTCTGAGCAAGTGCACGGATTCTCGACATAAGCTGCGCTCTTACCATTTGACACTGGGGTTATTCTAGGTTGCATCCCCCTTCTGATGAAATTCGGGGCGCCTGGCCATCGGCTTTCATCCGTGTCACCGCCACTTCGAGCCTTGATTTACAATCATGTAAGACAAAGATACGAGCATATGTTGGGCTTGAGGAACAGATACTCCTAAATAATTTAACAGAGAGGAGAATATCAAGTGTGTCTTTTTTTTACCCTCTCCTTTGCGTCTAACACAAGTCGGCAGTGATGCGACTGAAGCGGGCAGCGCGCAAAAAAATTCTCTCGCGGATGCTCAATGAAAACCTTCTTAATGTTCACTCCAAATTTCTGCTCCTTGTCTTGTTCGCACGTCGTCTTTTACTCCCGACACTCGTTAATCACAGTGAAACGTAACTGAGGAGACTGTGCGGATAATGAGCGGAGGGCAGCGATTCCGGGGATGCAGCATCCTCTCCCCGGTGAAGGTAGTCCGGAAACGCAGCAGCGGCAGCAGAAGCAAAGAAAAACGACGCTTTCTTGTTATTCTCTAAGCGCTTCTTGTTTGTTGTGCTCTGTTATTTCCTCTAATTCTCCCTACAGTGTGTACAGCCCTCATCAGGAACGCAGGAATCAATCCGGCAACGTTTCACTTACAGCAGGTCAGGGTGGTGGTGGGTGGGGTGTCTGCTTACTGGCACCCAATTAGCTGCAATTATCCAACATTAAATACTGGATTTTACAGCAGGTCACAAAACGTGGCACAGTTTTAATTGATAATTTCACCACAGGAGTCTGAACACTTTTTTCTTTTTCTTTTACACACCTGTTTCACACATGTCGTTAAAATCACAAAGCCCGAATAGACAGTAACCCAGTTCTGCTTCTATACTAAATTCTCTCACGTGGCGTTCCTGTTATTTTCTCTAGTTCTCGGTTTAAAATAAGATCTTCCACTACTGAGCAGGTGAAATGAGAAACCAGCAATAAAATTATAGTAGCCTGTGTTATTATGATTTTTATTGTAACAAAACTGCAAAAAAAGTCTTCTAATTTTACGCATAAAGTCAGTAAATTTAAATATAAAAAATGAAAGCTGATTAAATTTTATCGACACATTTTGGATGGTGTTTTGCAGGCGCTGCCTAATTACATCCTAAGGAACTTGGAAAGAAAACCGACTGGACTTCTTTAAGTTTCTTGAAGACGTTTCACCCTCTCATCCCAGAACCTTCTTCAGTTATAAGACCAAATGGCGGAGAGCAGGTGTTTAAGTCCAAGTGGAAGTTCACCCATTATTCACGTGTCTCATCACATGAGCCGAGGTGGGAAAAGGGTGTGGGTCATTGTCGGCAAAGGTTTCCTGTAAAAACATTGTGAGACCTTGCCTCACCCTATCATGTGACTTCTTGAGATCAGCTGATGCAAGATGTCACATCTGCTCATGATCACCTTTCTGGTCGTTTTATATTTTTCCATTTCTACATAACTGCATAAACAGTTGTCACTTTCTCACAAAGCTCTTGCTGATGGTCTTGCAGCCCATTTCAGCCTTTGCAGGTTGATCTAGTCCCTGATGTCCTGTGATAGCTCTTTGGTCTTGACTATGTTGGTGAAGAGGTTGGAATGTAAGAATTTGATTCTCACAGGTGTGTTTTATCCATGTAACAAGCTGGTATCAGGAGTATCAATAACTGATTGAGTGATTGATTGAAATCTCTGTGCCACGTGGGTAATCTGTGGGAGTCAGAATTCTGGCTAGGATGTAAAGGATTACATACTTATTTCACTCAATGACATGTTTTTTTCTGGATTTTTGGTCTCTCGTGGTCTTGGAGTGTCTCTCTTCATTAAAATTAAATACCAAAAAAGTTAGCGACTATTCATTTAAGCTAGCAAACTTACACATTCAGCAGGGGACTGAATGATTATTTCCTCAGTTATAGTTCCAGCTAATATATAAAGTTCAGTCAGGTTTTAGACCAGGATACTCTACCGATACTGCTCTTACGTACCTTTGTGATACAGTAAGATTTAATATGACCTGTGGTTTGTACACTGGTTCTGTTTTAATAATCTTCCAAAGGCTTTTGAGACTCTGGATCATTCTACAAACAAAATTAGAAGCCACAGGTTTACAGAATATATCTGTAAGATGTTAAAACAGTTAAATGCTCCAATGAGGGCAGACTATTTCACATAAAAACTGCTCCATCATATTTTGTGGCATTGCCTCGCTCTCTCATGGTATCCACATTTGTCACGTTACTCCAAATGTCTTTTTTTTTTTTTAAACAAAATGAAGACTACATAATTTTAATATGTTTTTTTAAGTGAAGTCTATTAGCATTATGTGATGGTTAAATAACATGTAATATTTGATCTTGATCTTCATGATTACTTTTTGCTGCTCCTTATTCTGGTATTTACTGCATGTACTGTATCATGGGCTTAATTTATATATGTTTTTTCTGAGATATGTACAGATAAAAAATACAGTTAATCATTTATAATCAAGCTATAAAATAGCAAAAAGGGTTCTATCCTTTTTTATCTTGTACTAGTGGTTCCCAAACTGTAGGGCACAGCATTAGTTGAGCACAGAGTCAATGCAGGGGGTTCATGGATGATCAGGACCCAAACTAAGCTGAATGAATATGCTTTATGACTTCATTTAGCATGTTTAGTATAGTCCTCATAACATGGTCTACCTCCACATGGTGGACCATGGGGTCCCCCCCCACCCCCACCCTCCCCGTACTCCACTGAATGTGCCAAACCCAAATTCAGATAATCAGAAAGAAAACCACACTGAGGTAGTTTACTTGTAGATGTACTGTTGAATTAAAGCAATAAAAACACAGCACTGTGAGCTTGTGCAGAAATGGGTCACCCAGATAGCTGGTATGAATCAAGAAGCTTGGTAACTCTGCAGCTTACTGAGAGACACGCCAACTGTGATCTGCAGGTAACTTGTGAGAAGAGAGTGTCTGTATGCGTATGTGAAACCGAGAAAGACTGAGAAAAAGAGAGACCTAGTGAGTTCAAAACCAACGCTAGATAGTGTGAGACGAATCAAGAGACAAATGGAAAAAAACATCAAGGGAAAAGCAGAGAAGAGCATCAGTGAGATGCACAGAGGAAAGGGGAAAAGAGAGTTTTTAGAAAAGGTGGGTGGAGAGACACTGGGGAGGAATCAAAATTCAAAGGAAAAAAATTCCTAAAGCAGTAGAGAGAGACACGCTGAGATGGAGGGGAGAACAAAAGACAGGAATGTAAAAGGGAGAGATTGTGTGACAGCAACACAGAAGGCAACTGGGTGCAAAAAAAAGTAGGTGTAAGAGTAGACTTGACTTGATATTAGAGGAACGAGTGAGCATGATAGGCTCAACTCAAGGACTCCTGTCAGCCCCTCAAGTTGCTGTCGAGAAGCTAGTCAAGTGGTGGACAGTTCAGGGCTGAAGCAGACAAGTTGAAGCAAATATCACCACTGAAAAAGAATAAAGACTCTAAGCTGGCTGTGCTCGAGGGAGCCAATCAATTCCATGTTTTTACGTGTCTGTCAGTGTTTATGTTTGCTTTATTTGCCTTGCTATCTTTAGAGCGTGCACTACATTTTGTTGTGAGCAAACACATTTCCCTGGCTGGTCTTGCAGTGCAGTCTGAGCTGAGCGTATACACCAGAAAGAGAGGCTGAAAAGAAATCTAACACTAGGCAGGCAGTTTTTAAACATACAAGGTGCATTCTGCAAAGTTCAGTTTCAGATTTGGAAAACCACTCCAATGTACACACAGACATAACGCGCTCATCACATATTCATATAATTAAGAGCACTGATGCATTAGCCTACTGCAGAACACAGGTATCGTATTGTATGCATCACAGAATATTGAAATACACAGTTACTGGAGTTTATATATTGTGTGCTACATAATGAACACAAGCAGGACTAAAAGAAAGAATAGTTCACTAGTATTACAAGATTGTGCAAATACTAGTGTTATTAGTATTTGCACACTGTATACATTTATAATCTTCCATCTCAAGAGCTTTTTATACATTTTTTCAAAGTAGGGGTAATCTTTGTATGAAAAAGACTTATTTTAGACTACATGTGCCTATATTTACAGACAGTGCAAAACCATTCCTATTATTTGATTGACCACATATCAAAACTGTGTGTTTGAAAAACATTTCCTGCATCAGGAATCTTTTGCTTATTGTTTCTTTAATCAAAATAACTAAAAAATACCCGCGTTGACGTGCTGGACTGTTGACCGTGAAAAAGGATGGTCCACATCGTTCTACTGCGGGGCAGGGAAGAAGAAGCAGAGAACAAAATCAGCAGGAAACTATGTGAGGTCAAGGGTGGACTTGGAGTGATAAGGGAGATTTCACCCCAGTATGTAACTCTGGCACACGGGTGACATAACTGTTCTAAAAGTTATCCCTGGGCTTATACCTCTGCACAAGTTAATACCATTCTCCACGAGACTTTACGAGTTGCTGAGCAGGATTTGAGTGTGATGAAGTTAATCACAGTGCAGTGGGGAGGGGGAAGAGTCATTAAAAAAATGAGAGCTTCCTCTTTTAGCATGGGCTTATTTCATTTATGCAGTGGCGCTGGTCCCGTGGGACTCTATCGTGATCTTGGCTGGCTTTGGCGGATGCAAAGCCAAATTGACCTTCACGCAGGATAGACTGGAGTGGGTGTTTCTTTTCTAGTGGATCAGAGTGGGTATGCAGAATGTGTTAGCCAGGTGGCCCTGCTTGGCTAATAAGCACAGTCAGAGAGCTGACGGGTATTTTAGGCTAGTCACTACCAGGTTCTTTGGCCACTTACAAAAGAAATTTTATGGTGTGTTTGGTCACCGGTGGTTTGAAATTGACCCACAAGGCAACACATAAAATGATTTTATATTAAAAAAAAAATCACATATCTAACACTCCAAACCTTTGATTTAGGATCATCTGGTTTGTGTGTATGTATCGCTGAACCTCTCTAAATCCTCAGCCGAACTCAGCCTCCATGGGTGAATCAGGAGATGAGCATTTCTTACTGTTTCCTCTCTAATGCTCAGTGACAGTGTCACAGCAGGTGGAGCTCTTCACAGAACTAATCAGTCAGATCTGTTAACAGAGGAGGTGCGATGTGAGATGACGAACTGAAACAGAACCGCCAACATGCCAACAACTGCCTTTAATGTGCACCCGCGGTCCAGACAGACAACTCAGACACCTCTTCCTCGTCCCCATCCTGTCATCCCCTCTGTCACTCTTCAGCCTCACTCATTCATGTTCTGCCAGGCCCCCTCTGCACCGTTCAGCTCCCACGCTCCTCTTGGCAGGTTGCAAAAATCAATCTATGTAAACTGTCAGCACACATCTGATATAAAAATATTTAAATCCACCTACTGTGATAGTGAGCCCGGATGTGTAATGCCCAACCTTTTGAACCTCTCACCACTTGAAATGGTAAGACTTTATCAAATCTACTGTAATATTATGGTTTTGGACCCATGTGGGCTGAGGTATGGTTCATTGGGTTTCTTAGCTCTGATTTTTAAGCTGTCCTACTTCCCATCATGCCTCAGGGTTTTAGGGGAAATCTGAGCCAGCAATGTACTTCTTAAACGTTCCCTCCTAACTTTACTTACAGACAGCATCAGTCTAGCTCGGTGCCTTTTTACAAAGGTTAGAGTATTATGGTGTTGGATTTGTTTTGTTTAAAAAAAAATACACATAACTCCATTTTATTTCCTATAAAAATATTTAATACATGATGTAATTCGGCTGTAGGTATACATGGATTATTTCAACTCAAAAGAGTAAATGAGCAGTATGTGTAAATAAATGTATGACTGCAAAGACATACTGAGCATTCATGAAAGCAGATGTTTTGTGCACCAAAAAGCAACATTTATAACATTTATAAACTTCAAGAAAACAAAAAAGAAAGCAAAAACATCAAGAAGAATTTAGAAACTTTTGGCCCAATGTGGCATATTTTTGCAATCTAATGATAAATGACTTGAACTTAAACATGACAGAACCAGTAAACTTTACTGAAGAGCGAATGCATCATGAGCACATTGTTCATATCTTTTGCTGAACTTTGCTGAACTTTCTTGAAAATACTGGCCTGTTAAAAATTTAAAGGGATCTTAGGGGAAATTAAAAAAAAGACATAATTTAAAATTTAATACGAGCTTCATTTTTGCCTTTTGTAGTTGAGTAATATAAGTAGAGGCTTACTGAGATCAGAAGTCTTGCTCACCTCCAGGATAGCTCCTGCAACATTATGTTTCAGATGTCAGTGGATTTCATCATCCAGACTCTTAGAATTTACAATCACGGCTTTCCGAAGTTTGGAGCACACGGATAATAGCTCTGATTCTCTTGTCTTGTCGTTGGATCTCTAAGTTGATGAACATATGCTGAAATATCACAGTAAACATTTTGTAGCCATTTAAACAAAACCTTGTCTCGTCTTTATTGCTTGTGTGAAAAAAAGAACACTAGCCGACTGGAGTAAATATAGTGGTGTTTAAGTAAGACTTGTTGCAGTTCTCCAACTCAAGTATAGACGTAAAGCAGCATTAAACAGCATTTTTAATACCATGTCTGCTACCTACTTCAAAACTAATATTACCTTTAATCTCTGCTACCGACGTGCATCTAAAGTTGTCTTCAGCGTCATCAGACAGATCAAAAACTGCTCATTAGCCTTTGAACTCTTATAAAGCATCACAGCCATTTTTCATAGGTGACATTAATTCATTTTAGTGCCACCTTAACAAAAAGCGCCACACAACAAAGACCTCTTAAATATGTCAGGCTGTGATTTTGGATCTTCTTATTCAGGACACTCATCCTCAGCTTGTGGTTGCAATATTTGGAACTTTTCAGTAAAAAATTCTTCTTCCTTGCCGCTGTTTCATTCATCTGTCAAACCTCCTCAGTCTCATTTGCCTGATTTGCTCAGTTCTGGCATCTTCGGAGAGGTGGAAACCATAAGGAGGGGGGGCTCCTCTCTGCCGGGTTTGACCTAAAAAAAGAAAAGAAAAGAAAAGAAAAGAAAAGAAAAGAAAAGAAAGATAAACCAGTGACATCAGATAGATATAAAAAAATAAATCACTCGAACCCTTTTCCACTTATCAAAACTGTCCCCTCCTGCCTTACCTCTGTCATTCAGGCTGTTTGTGATGGCTTCCTCTAACTGCTCCTCCTCTGTCAGTCCACCTGTATAAGATGCATCTGCTGTGTAACCTGGTGCATACTGATAGTTTCCTGAGAGTCCTCTACCAGTGCCAGTGTAGCCTGAGACACACATACACACCAGGTTAAGTCTGGCATATTGTATACTCTCGTTATTGTCTGTAAATCCCGTGAAGACAGCAAAGCCTACAATATATTAGTCAGTATACAGTCATTTTCTGCCATCATACCCGAGTAGCCCGAAGATCTGTAGTAGGCACCGGGCTGTGAGTTATATCCATTCGATGTCACAAACCCTGGTGAAAATATATGCAGATTATTTCAGTTTTCCTCTCAATAAGCAGATTCTATATAAATATCAGGTACTTGTAGGAAAGGTATTGTAAGAAAGCTTGATCTAGTCCATTTGTAGTTTGCTTTAGGTTGAACCTATTGACCAACCTCTCTGTTTAGAGCAACTGAAGAAAGACACTGGCTATCACCTGATGACAATTTATCTTTTAATTTGCCTCACAAAGTTTAGCTGCATTTACGAAAGTCTTGCTCTCATTTGTGGGAGCTACACCGGAGCTCCCCCCAGGGGCTTGTCAGCAGAACAACTGAAGGGCTCCCACATTGTTTCCATTTAAACAGTGTTACTGACAAATATTTATATTTGTACATAGATTCATTCTCAAAGCTGACTCTAGTGTTCTATCACATATTTTCTATCACACTTGAATCTTTAGACTTTGGTCCACTGTGTTTTTGCCATCTTACGAGTGGCTGCGTTAATATAAATGTAAGAAAACAGGTGAGAAAAAAAAACATGAATTCAGACCTGCACATTTCTTCATGATTTTCTTCAGTGGTCCGGTGGTGTAGAGGAGACCTACCAGGATCCCTGACAGGTGACCAACAAAAGAGGTCCTGAAGAAGAGAAGCATAGATTATTGCTATTTAATCAAACACTGCCATCTACAGGACATTTTAATTCAACACCTCAAACAACAGGTTCCTAAAATAAAACATTACTAATTGTCATTGAGCCTAACTGCATACTAATCACACATCAGTGAGCAGAAGAAATTGCATCTGAATCTGGAGCAGTATTAGATTAGAGAGAAGTCGATGTGTATGTTGATTCAATCATGAAATGACATCATGTAGCCTTACCCTCTGTGGATACTGACTGATACTAAAATATAATTAAAAAAAAAACAACAGAGAACAGTTGAGCCATTTTTGGAGGAACCCGTTTTGCATTTTTATTATCTGTAACACAAATACCTGATTCTGTTCAGCGACTTGTGCTTCTTAATGCTTCTTTCAGGTACCATTTAAAAAATATATTAAACATCCCCATCCCCTTTTTATAGGTTCCTGCTGAAAAATAGCATGCCCAAAGTGAATCGACTATTTCTCTGCAATTACAAACTCAATATAACTATAAAAATAAAGGTGACACTTTGAAAATTCTTTGGTATTGAATTGGTCTTGAAGTACACTGAGAGAGAGCTGTGCAGGAAGTGCAATTTTATCGTGGTGGAAGCAAAACAGCAAAAATAAGAGGGAATTCATTGCAATGTTTTTCAAAAGTCTGGTTTGTCTCCTTTTGCTGCTGGTTCAGTGAATTTTGGTCAGAGAGTGACGTGCAGCTTTGGAATCTGTCAGATGTCTGCTTTCAACACCCAATGCCATGTTTTAGCTGAGATTCTGATGCTTCTGGCAAAATCCATTTAAAAATGCATTTCAGGACTTAATGAATCGATGTTGGATTATTCAAATTCAAATTAATTTGAAATAGAAAATCAATTTTTAAAGCAGAAGAGCTGTTGCCCTGCTAGGTGCATCAGTGTTCACACTGGTATCTCTATATTTTAACTGTGTAGTAAATCCATAGTCCTGATTAATTTACAGATACGAATTACAGACAGGTAACTCACCCGGGTGATGTTATGTGGATAAGCACCAGCTCTACCCAGCTAGCATAGCGACTAGACACAGGTAATCCCATCACATAGGTCACACTTCCGGGGTAGTAATGGTTATTGAGTACCTTCAAAGCAAACAGGACACCTAGAAGCACAATCGTTGCAAAGATAAATACACAAGAAAAAGGAAATGTTGCCATTTTCGGAAAAAAAGATCAAATAGTTGGTCATGACATATGGAGGAAGATAATACAATATATGTTTACAAATATAGAGTGATCAAATCTTCTATATCAGTTACAACATAAAGGATTATAGAACTTTCCCCTATAATTTATACCTGAGAAGCCAACAGCACACGCCATGCTGTACGACTGGTCCTGCGTGAGCTCTGTTAGCAACGCCTCCAACACTAGATAGACCAGTCCAGTAAGCAGAGAGAACACTGAGAGCAGGTAAAGGAACCAGGGCCCACCCAGCCGTTGCTCCAGCCTTCTACCTTTCCAGAGGAAGGACACCATGTTGAAGTAAAGATGCCAGTCGTCTGCATGGTGCAGTGGGGACAGCAGGAGTCTGCGCCAGTCTTTAAACCAGTAGGCCTGCTGCACACTAACACAGGCCTAGGAAATTAAGAGATAATACTTTTTTTACATTTTTTAAATACTAATTAGAATACTATCATAAAAAGTTATTATTATTATACTTTAGTTATTATGAGATCTGCACATAATCTTTCTACTTGATAAACAACTTTCCCATTAATGTAATAATATCTTCCTTGTTGATTATATTCTAACATTTTAGTAACACAGTTTAAAACAATTATTTCAGGGCTACTGCACTGTATAAAACAAAATAGCCAACCTTGTGCTGTATAAATATTGGTCGACATTAAAAATGGACAAACTCTGTCTCCATCATTAGATGTGTATTTGGTGTATTTACCTGAAACAGTGGGGCAGCAGGGAATAGGTAAAGGTACACATTGAGAGCCAGGACAGCCAGAGTGATGGGAGGGATATTGTTCAGACCCAATTGAAACACCTGGGAGGCAAGGAGCAGCAAGCCCAGCTGGGATCCCCTCTGTCTGTTTCGCATACTGAAAATAACCTAGGGAAAAACAACTGCCTGATTCTTTTTCAGACATTTTCGGTTACCATAAAATTCACATTTATAAGTTATTAGAGAAAGGCTGAAGATTAAATCATTAAATCACACAATCTCTGAGTATCAGCTTTGAAAGACTCAGATGCACGGAAACTCCCTCTACTTGACTATGAGTTGTATTAATAAGGAAGTGTTGGGCTGTTGTTAAAACAAAACACAAACATTAGAAATTAGAAAGAAATGTCAGAGAAAGCTCAAGTGGTTACAGTTCACATTAATTCAATTACCAGAAGTCCAGACTGTAGATTTGATCTGAAGCCTTTATAAGAAAAAGAATACCACTGCTTGTCGTGCTTTAATATGATGAGTTAAAATGCCTTTTGCTGATATCTAACACATAAGAAATTTAACTAATATTCATTATTAAATAAAGACTGAGTCCTCCTTCCCCCATGAGCTTATAAATGTTCAGGAAATGTCAGTCACATGGCGGTGTATATGTACAGTCAAACCATACACACTACAGCCTTAGATATCATACAACCCCAACACCGTGATCCAGAGTATAAGTAGTAGTAAGTAGTAGTAAGTAGTAGTAAGTAGTAATATAAGTAGTATAAGAAAGGTATCCCTCTGGTTAATGTTATTGTAGTTGAACAGATACAGTCAATAATAATTAGCAATTAGAAAAAAGTCTGCAAGTCAGTTTAAAACATTCAGTAGCTTAACAACAACACTGATGCTGATGTTCTTTGGAAAAAACAATATTCCATTACTAAAGAATAAAATGCCCCACAACATACAATGACATTCACTTCACGGGGAACTAAAAGTAAACTTACTGTCAGCGCTGACAATCGTTGGAAACGCTTCCTCGTTCAGTTACTTTCGCTACCGCAAAACTTTAACGTCAGCCCGGTGTTTAACCAGGTGAGCACAATTTAACGCTGATAAAAAACATAAAGTTTCACTTATATAACTCTTAATCAAACGTCAGCAAAACGTATTACTAGATATTTCATCATTTCTAGCATTTACCAGTAACAACTCGACAAGTTGGCGCTGTGCAAACGTCAGAGGTCACGTGA